CCCCGCTGTCCCCCGGCAGTGACGGGCAGCGAGGACGCCTCGGTTCATTTTTTCGACGTGGGCCGGGCGGCGCGAGCCACGGTGAACACCCTGCAGGGCCACGGGGCGSCCGTGCTGGCCGTGGCCTTCAACTGCGACGAGTCCCTGCTGGCCTCGGGGGACGCCGGCGGCACCGTCATCGTCTGGAGGCGCCAGCACGCCTGAGACGGGCCCAAAAAACGGGGGAATGGCCCCGGAAAATAGTGAAATTCCCGTGGAAAATAGTGAAATTCCCGCGAAAATACGAAATTCCCACGAAAATATGAAACTCCCGCGAGAAAATGTGAAATCCCTGCGGAAATATCCCTGAAAATGCCCCTGAAAAAATAGCGAAATCCCCGCGAGAAAATGTGAAATCCCTGCGGAGATATCTCTGAAAATCTCCCCGAAAAGTAGTGAAATCCCCGTGAGAAAATAGCGAAATTCCCGTGAGAAAATGTGAAATCCCCGCGAGAAAATACGGAATCCCCGCGAGAAAATGTGAAATCCCTGCGGAGATATCTCTGAAAATCCCCCTGAGAAAAATATTGAAATTCTTCTGAAAAAAATAGTGAAATCCCCTCGAGAAAATGTGACATCCCCATGGAAATATCCAAAAAAATCCCCCTGAAAAAAAGAGCGAAATCCCTGCGAGAAAACGCGGAATCCCTGCGGAGATATCCCTGAAAATCGCCCCGAAAAAATAGCGAAATCCCTGTGAGAAAATGCAGAATCCCTGCAGAAATAGCCCTTAAAATCACCCTGAAAAAACACGAAATCCCCATGGAAATATCCCTGAAAATCACCCCAAAAAAATAGCGAAATCCCCACGAGAAAAGTGAAATCCCTGTGAAAATATTCCTGAAAATCCCCCTGAGAAAAATACTGAAATTCTCCTGAAAAAATAGAGAAATCCCCCCGAGAAAACACGAAAACCCCGTGGAGATATCCCTGAAAATCCCCTCGAGAAAACATAAAATTCCTGTGGAAATATCCCTGAAAATCTCCCCGAAAAAAAAAGTGAAATCCCTGCGAAAACACGAAATCCCCACAAGAAAACATTAAATCCCTGCGGAAATATCCCTGAAAATCCCCCTGAAAAAAGTGCGAGAAAACGCAGAATCCCCACGGAGATATTGCTGAAAATCCCCCTGAGAAAAATACTGAAATTCTTCTGAAAAAATAGTGAAATCCCCGTGAAAAAACGTGAAATCCCCGCGGAAATATCCCTGAAAATCCCCCAAAAAAGCACTGAAATTCTCCTGAAAAAATAGCTAAATCCACTTGAAAAACCATGAAATCCCCGCGGAAATATCCCTGAAAATCCCCCTGAGAAAACGTGAAATCCCTGCGGAGATATCCCCGAAAATCCCCCCAAAAAGCACTGAAATTCCCATGAAAAAATAACGAAATCCCCGCAGAAATATCCCTAAAAATCCCCCCCAAAAAATAGCGAAATACCCCTGAAAAAACACGAAATCCCCACAGAAATGTCCCTGAAAATCCCCTCGAGAAAACATAAAATCCCTGCAGAAATATCCCTGAAAATCTCCCAAAAAAAATAGTGAAATACCCCCAAAAAAAGGCGAAATTCCTGCAGAGATAGCCCTTAAAATTGCCCTGAAAAAACACTGAAATCCCCCTGAAAAAACGTGAAATCCCCGCAGCAATATCCCTGAAAATCCCCCCGAAAAAATAGCAAAATCCCCGCGAAAACACGAAATTCCCATGAGAAAACATGAAATCCCCCCGAAAAAGTAGCAAAATCCCTCCGGAAAAATATTGAAATTCCCTGAAAAAAACGGCGAAATTCCCTCAAGAAAACATGAAATCCCTGCGGAAATATCCCCAAAAATCCCCCCAAAAATATTCCTGAAAATTCCCCCGAGAAAAACATGAAATACCTGCGGAAATATCCCCAAAAAAACCACCGAGATCCCCCCCAAAAAATACTGAAATTTTCCTGAAAAAACACTGAAATCCCCCTGAGAAAACATTAAATCCCCGCGGAAATATCCCTGAAAATCCCCCTGAGAAAAACACTGAAATCCCCCCGAAAAAAACATTGAAATACCCTCGAAAAAAACACGAAATTTCCCCGTGGAAATATCCCCAAAAATCTTAAAAATATCCCCGAAAATTGCCCCAAAAAATATCCCAAAAACTGTCCCGATGTGACCTGGGAGGGCAGCGAGTTTTACGGGCAAAGGCAGCACTGGAACTCCGTGAAAAATTTCATAAAATCCCTCCCAAAATCACCCTGAATTCACCCTAAAAAATATCCCAAAAGCACCGTGAAATACCCCTGAAAATATCCCCGAAAATACCCCAAAAACCACCCCAAAACCTTTCTCTAAGCCCCCCCAAAACCTCTCCAGACCCCCAAAACCTCCCTAAGAAAACCCAAAAAACTCAGACCCCCCAAAACCACTCTTGGACCCCCGAAATCATCCCAAAAACCCC